GTCAGAGTCTGGTTCGCATTGCCGGTAGTAAGTCGGACTCGTTTCCGGTGGGAGTTGGACTCCGCCAAGGTTGCCCTATGTCTCCGGTCCTGTTCATAACTTTTATGGACAGGATTTCTAGGCGCAGCCGAGGTGTTGAGGGTGTCAGTCTTGGTGGCCTAAGGATCGCATCTCTGCTTTTTGCAGATGATGTGGTCCTGTTGGCTCCATCAAGTCGGGACCTACAGCTCTCGCTGGAGCGGTTCGCAGCCGAGTGCGAAGCGGCTGGGATGAGGATCAGTGCCTCCAAGTCCGAGACCATGGTCTCTCACCGGAAAAGGGTAGAGTGCCTTCTCCGGGTCGGAGCGGACGTCCTTCCCCAAGTGGAGGAGTTCAAGTACCTCGGGGTCTTGTTCGCGAACGGGGGTAGGGAGCGTGAGATCGATAGGCGGATCGGTGCGGCGTCTGCAGTAATGCGGGCGCTGTACCGGTCTGTCGTGATGAAGAGAGAGCTGAGCCTAAAGGCGAAGCTCTCAATTTATCGGTCGATCTACGTTCCCACCCTCGTCTATGGTCACGAGCTTTGGGTAGTGACCGAAAGAACGAGATCGCGGATACAAGCGGCCGAAATGAGTTTCCTCCGCAGGGTGGCTGGGCTCTCCCTTAGAGATAGGGTGAGAAGCTCGGCCATCCGGGAGGGGCTCAGAGTAGAGCCGCTGCTCCTCCACGTGGAGAGGAGCCAGTTGAGGTGGCTCGGGCATCTGTTCAGGATGCCTCCTGGTCGCCTCCCTGGGGAGGTGTTCCGGGCTCGTCCCACCGGGAGAAGGCCCAGAGGAAGACCCAGGACCCGCTGGAGGGACTATGTGTCCCGGCTGGCCTGGGAACGCCTCGGGATCCCCCCGGAGGAGCTGGCTGAAGTGGCCGGGGAGAGGGAAGTCTGGATTTCCCTGCTCCGGCTGCTGCCCCCGCGACCCGACCCCGGATAAGCGGAGGAGAATGGATGGATGGATGGATGGATGGATATAATTCCACACGTGTTAAATCATAGTTTTGATGCCTTCAGTGTGAATCAACAATTTTCATAGTCATGAAAAAAAAGAAAACTCTTTGAATGAGAAGGTTTATCCAAACCTTTGGTCTGACTACATCAACAGCGTTCACAAAGGAGGTGTGAAAGGAGTTGTGAGCTCAATAAACATACCGTGAAATAATTGAAAATATTTGTAAATAAGTGTTCTTTAAAAACACATTCAAGTATCGGAATTTATTATTTAAAATGGGAGATTTAATTATTTAATTGGTCATTTACTTATTTCATTGCATATTCCATAATTACATGATGTCTTTAATCAGTTATTTATGTATCTAATGAATGAATGGCATGTGTACGTGTATGCATTTCATTATATATTTATCCATTTCACCATACATTTATTCATTTAATTTTTGTCACCCTTATCAATAGACTGCATTCCTTTACAAACACAAAAATAATAAAAGCAGTAAATGACCACAAACTGTGTCCATATAAATAGCACTAGAGTGAACCAAAACTTCTGCCTTGAGTCACATTGACAAAAGCTAACATCCTGTACAGCAGGTGTATCAAGATGAATTTCATACATATGAAAAACAGTTACCGTCTGATAAATCGATTGTTATGCCTGATTCTGCACTCTCTTTCTTTTTGGTTGAACACACAAAAAAAATCCATTCGGTAATTAGGATAATATTTCCAAATGGGAATCAATACATACAAATTTTCTCTACCACAGTAGTCAGCTTTGATTAATAAAAATCAGTTTCAATTCAGATTTTTGTTTTGTTTTTCCCCCAAAGAAATGGGGAAAAAACAGTTCCCCATCAATTCTGAAACTCCAGCTTTCCACCAGAAAAACAGTCATCTGAATAGTACTGACTCTTCAGTCGCTTTAATATCAATTTGCATATGTATTGGATTAGCAAGCTTTTAAGTAAATTAATTACTTCATCCAAATTAAAAACAACAACTTTATGAATTTAGAGGTAATGTCCCATTTAAAATGGCTGCATAGGGAAACATGAAGTTGGAAGAAGGCAAAATATATGGATTATTTTCTAATCCTACCCATTTGTTTCAGTTAAACATATTTTATCAACTGCCAATATCCAACAAGGTTTCTTAAACCGTATTACACAGAGCTTTGCAGTTCAACAGCTAGCTAGCATTAGCATAGCAGACATGTCTACCACTGAAATCTAAAAGAGTATACATTTTTAAATGTACTGTTTTCGGTTGGAAACATTGGTTTATGCAGTACATTTAGACTGAATTCAAGATAAGTTCATAATTCCTAATGTATCTCTTTTACTTTCAATATTACACTCAACCACTGTTAGCGCTCTGTTCACACTTTCTTTTTCTTTTTATTGGTGAATCTATCAAACTAGTGTTTTTTGTTTTTTTTCTATTGCTAGAAAAACCTAGATTGTCACTGTTTTGTGGAATAGATTTTACTGTATAACTTTGGCTACTTCCTTGAAAGAGTACAGGATATTCATCTATAGATAGCTGCTGACCCTTGACACTAAAAGAATTACTAATAGGGCTTTTTTTTATTTTTTTTACAAAAGCCAAGTCCAAAATACAATTATATGTAATGCATACTTAATATATCTAATATTGTTGACTTTTGAATCAATGAATATATCAACACACTCTCAACTTTTAATATAGATTTAACTGTATAACGCACTAAAAAAATGTTTTTGAATAAAAATGGTTTTAGCAACTTTAGTCTAAAACAGATTATATTTGATTTGATATATATATTTTTTTTTTGTTTTTTTTGCTTTTTACTTCTGTTTAACATATTTGAGAAATATTATACCAAAAAAGTTTTTGGAAAGAAGGGTTTAGCTAACTGTTAGGTTGTTGTATCTTTTGGCATCAATGTAACATCCAGCCCTATTATACATTCATAGTTACGTTGCCAACCTTAAACTTCACTTTCATACCTAAATTTATCCTACACAGTAATTATTTTACAAGTAATTTACATCTGATGGTTAAGTTGGTTTAGCCTGCTATAACACAATAAAGGACTAATATTTTGGTTCCATTGAAAAAAGCAGAACCTAATTTATATTATGTCCTTATTTTTACACCAACGTCGATAAAAGATTGCTTGGTTTTAACTGATAAACACTGCAATGTCTCACTGCTGTAATGACCTGATGTTCGAGGTCTGCATGTGGTTGATTCAATAGGCCTAAAAATCAGCCATGTGCAATGCATGGAAAAATTCTCATCCCATCTCACGATGAAGTGTTTATGACATGTTTGCAAAGGATTTTAGCAAGAAAACGGATAAGTAAATGTGTAAGATCAGAACTTTTCCACCGCTATGTTTTTTCAGATATTCTCTGGAATCTGTTAGCTAAAATTTTCAAACGTTAGACTTTCCATTTGTAACTAAATGAATCTTGCACATGGATGTCAAATCCCTGGATAATCTTAAAAATGTGTTGGATATATCAATTCAACCCACTTCTGAAAAAGACCATAAAAAATAAAAGCATCCACATGTTTTTAACCACAAATAGTTCCTATTACTTATAAAAAGTCAGTGGAAACATTTGGGCTGAAATGTTGGTGACACAAAAGCAGTGGTTTTATTCAGATCGTAACTAATAAATTGAGGGTCCAGCATTGGATGTTGACATTTTTCAACATAAATATTTGTTAATATCCTTCACTTGTAAAACTTTAAAAGCCATTTAAACAGCAGGGCATTGTACTGTGACTAAAAGGGGAGACAGTGGGGATACATTTTAGAAGCTGGAGGACCAGTACCACTTGCAAATATATACCTAGTTTTGCTGTTTGTTTTTTCAAACCCTCATTTAACTTAACTAATTCAGCCATCACAAGCTATCATGTGAAACACCAGGAGGGAGCAATAATTGCAGGGAGTGCATATTTGTTATTGTGAGAGAGAGAACAGAGCACTCCCAGGGGGTTTCGACTATCTTTACAGACCTGGCGTTACCACGCTGTTTCATAACATTTGCAGGTATAACCATACTACTATAAACATTTAATATTAAACTGTTAAAACGACAGCAGCGTGAAGCAAGAACTGGATGGAATTCAGTGTATTTTCCAGCAAAGGTGGAACATTTTGAAACATCCAAATAGATCTGCACAAAAGGCTGAAATGACATCATCACCAGTATATTCCCGAACGAAAGGCTAAATGAAACGATTGGATGATGATTGGACAGATAATTCACTGAAGTAAAACTTTAAAATAAATGTTTTCGTGTATATTTTTCATTTATTTACTAGCATCTCATCGATCAAGAAGAGAGAAAAATATGTTGCAAAAACATAAATCACACTAAATCTTTTTGATGGGAGAACTGCAAAAGTCGGTTATGATCTCAGACACAGACATGCAATCTGACGTACAAAGACGTAGTCCAGGCTTGCAGCTGCTTTGACAACATTTTTATTCCAGCTGACACAGAGTCCTTTCACAGAGCTATAACAAACTAACATGCACCTCTCTTTAAAATAGTGAAGAACAGATGAAAAGTCTCAACTGTTAATATATATATATATATATATATATATATACATATATGCCAGTGAAAATATCCCTGCAAATAAGGAAATCAAATTAACAATTTACAAATCCTTTTTGTGACAATGTTGACACCCTGTCAACATCACGTTGGCAGGTAATTAGAAATCACAGCCTGAAAGCCTGAGAGAATTTGCGATTCGACCAAATGGCCACACATCAGAATACCACAAAATGAAGAGACTTTGGATAGGCATGCATTCATTTACAACCCATCTGTCCTGGGTGAAACATGACCCAAATGCCCAGCTCCTTTATTGGTGGTTCAGCGTTGAGGGACAGGAAATGTGAGGGAGCAGAAAAGGGCAGGGGAGTGAACTGTTACCAGGTGATGCCAAGAACAACGCAAAAAAAAAGCCTGAACTGAAGGGCTGTAACAGCTAGTGCTTTTACCTTGATGTTGGAGAACCACAGGTCATTCTCATGTAGCGTCGCCACATAGATGCAGCATAGCAAGCCAAGCCCAACGGAAACGGACCAACCAACTGACGTCAAAATAATGGCTCCCCATGACCAATCACCTGCAAAGACATTAGTGTGGAACTTAAGTCGTTGCTACAGAACGACATTTACAAAAACTGCACAGCGTGGTCTAACTTAGAGGGCTTTCACACCAAAAAAACTCTGTGCGTGGGTACAAACAACCTGATCAATGTCAGTTTCAGCGCTTTGGTTTCAGGTTCACAGCTTTGTGTACACTGGCTAAAGGTCAGGTTATGCTGGAGCAGAGATTTACTCTCTTTAGCAAGTTTCTGTCCAACAACAGCAGAAATAAAACTGCTCCAAGCAACCAGACCATTTAGACATTTCATTTCAATGTGGAGATGACGGCACATAATTTCACAGACAGACTCCTCTGGAAAGCACTAGTTGATCTGAGAGGCTCATTTGAAACAAGACTATAATATTGCTGTTTCTTTGTTTTAAAACTAAAAAAAGGTTTGATCACCCTGTAAGGCACATACAAGATAACCTGTCTGTTATTCTCATTCAGCAAATCCAGTCTGGATGGGTGTAAGAGGAAAGGGCTTCACTGTTATACCATTGAACGAGCATTTAGAGAGAACATGGGCACATATGAGACTAAATGTCAGACTTTATTGTATGCTTATCCTAAAAGGACAGTTTGTTTATCAGTTCGTATAAAAGATACGCTTTTATAACACTAGGTTTCCTCTAACTGGGTATTAAAAATAACGAGATGCTGATTTTCAAGTGTTGAAAACATGAATGTAGGAAAGAAACTGTAAGCTCAAAGCAAATAAGCAAACAATTCCCGATCAATCTGTGCATGCTGCCCAGGTTAAAGTCAGATAGAGAGCTCTGGTCAGGCCGGTTCCCGGCCCCCTGGTCAGAGGTCGCTGAATGCGGCCACTGTGATGATGGGCCTTGAAACTGTGACATCCACTGGGTGGCAGAGTGGCACTCACCCTGCAAGATCTTCCCTGGATGGTGGTGGGTGCAACAGTTGGGCTGCGGGGACTGAACTTCAGCAGCCGGGGGTGCCTCCTTCCCCTTACTGGCCTTCCTCTGACGCAGGGTTGTCATGTTGTATGAGGGGGGCTGCTACCTAACGCGCCTGCGTATTAGAGCAGATATAGGTTGATTATGCACAGTGTGTAACAAAAAACAAACAAATAAAAGTCACTTCCGTCAAAGCCAATGAAAGCCTAGATGGACACCGCGGTATGTTTGCGTCCCCTCGTTATCTGTAGCTTTTTTTATTCAGTCCAACGCTGATAAATGGGATGGACAGGCCTGCTTTGCAAGCGGGGGGTTTCCCGGTCGCGTTGCAGGCAAGATTATGAAACATTAAAAAAAACCCACCTATCGACACCAGATTACCCGGATAAAAACCGCATTAATTCCTCCGTATTTAAAGCGGATGATGGGGCTTGCGGAACGTGACAGCGGGTCCCCTTGCTAAACACCGGTGGGGATACTGGTAGTGATGAGATTAGGGAGGGATGGTACCCGTCGAAGTAGGATAAAATGTTAAAAATTTCGACTGGGTAGCACGCGCGCACGAACACAGCCTTGTATGTTGAATGAATGTGCAGTTTACTTGTACACGCGCACCCGTCATGGACGCCAGACTTTCCGTCTCACGGCAACAAAGACGTAAACGATTTGAGTCAACGGTACATTTTTTTAAAACCTCACCCTCCTCTAGGCTACAGCAGCAGCTGGCGAGACGGTCCGACAGCTCTCCTCTATCTCCCCCTTCCTCCCTCTTTGTCTACGTCTCCCTATTTCACTCGTTTTTTTTTGGTCTTGTTTTGTTTGTTTCTCATTCTCTCATCTTTTTCTCCCCACTTGCCCAAAACCAATCGGTCAGCCTCTGCCGCACTGAGTTTAACTAAGGGACAGGACCGGAAGTAAAGAGGTCCTCCTTCAAATTAAAAGGTTGCGACAGCAAAAAGTCTGTACTGTATAGCACAAAATCTAAATGCTGGTGTAAAGTATGTATGGACACTATTGAGATACAAGCCTGCCAACACCTCTGTTTGCTCACTGAAGTTGTTGACCTGTTTGTTGAGGCTTTAGTGAAAAGGTTCAAATGATAAGAAGCAAGGTAAAAGCTATGTTGGCTTCTCAATATCAAACGGTCTGAGATTTGTTTTTTATTTTCAAAAATATTGCTACATTTCTCAGCAAATATATATGTAGATAGATAAGCCATTTGCTTTCAAACCATGACCACAAAATTAGTTAGAATATTGTAAGACGCTGGAATTCATCAAGCTCCAATGGAGTTGCATCTATTTTGTCAGGAGGAATCAGCATAAATCCCAATTACTAGAATTGCAAAATTTGAGGACACGCACACCTTTGGGGACTTTCCCCTCGTTTTCATAAAACATGTTATTTTCATCCGTTTTAATTGTTTTTTAAATGTCCTCTTTGTGTCATGATAACATTGATTTTGTGTATTTAAAGTTAAAGCCATGTTTTGCTAATTAAGTGACCAAATGCCATAAACTGAGAATGAATTCTAGGTTGTAAATGCAATGAAAATGGGAAACAAAAAAAGTAATTTTTTAATTGGAACACATCAGGTCAGCTGATCACATCCAGGTCCCCAAAACGAGCCATTATCACTGCTTATTATGTAAGTTACCCTAACCATGACTCTTCGCCTTCAATTAATTTCTTTAGAAATGGTAAAAATAAAGAGTATTTGTACTTGAAAATACAAAGACACAGAAAGCATCATTGTTTATGATTTAGCATTTTATGCTGTGTTCCGTCCACATGCTCTTTGTCTATGAGATTGTGTTGAATTTCTTCACAAGGCAATCAGAAGAGATAACGGGTCTAATGGCAGAGACTTTGCATGGCATAAACACACTGAGCAGCTGATCTGTGCAGAAAGTTCAATATTGTGAAAATGTCCATATTTACTTTAGAACAGTAAGCTCAATGACACTGACCTGTTTCACATTTTATAAAGTTCAGTGCACCGCTAACGGGACACAAAGTGCAGCTCCTTTCGGTTTACTAAAATTCTTTGTATAGCCTTAGTTACAAATATTCTTTTGCCACAAAGTGAATTTTGTCCTTGAGGCATGTTCAGATATATATTTTTGCTATTTATTGCCATTAAATGTCTATAACGTCTTTGCAAGAATAATAACTTTGATATGAGACTGATCTTCCACAACAGTGACCCTTCCATATATTTAATCCTTTTATCCATAGCGGTCACTACAGTGGACAGTTATTTAAAAGCCTTTTTGTTGTGTAAATGCAAATAGGACACTGAAATGGATACTGGTGCAGCATGCAATACAAATTCAAAAATCTCCACAGTACTATACTGTTAAAGAAGAGCTCTCATTAAAATGAATCAAACGATTGAATGAGTGGGAGTGAAAAAAGGGATGGTATAGTCATGAATATTACTTTTTATTGCATTCTATGTTTATGCATTCTGGTAACAAATGTCAAAATATGTTCACATTGTAAAATACAAAGTGTATGCTGTCCACGTAAGTGGACGTCTGGAAAAATCTTTGAATAAACACATTTTTGACCAAGTAAAACGTTCTGTTTTATTTACGCATGAAAAGGTGAAATTACTATAGCTCTTATTAACAAATAATGCTGGTTATATTTGTATTTTTAGAAAATGAGAAAAAGTTAACAGATAACTTTGAAATCAAATGTGAGTAGGTAACCATTTTAGTTAATGTTGAATTATTTTTACTTGATGACTGTTGTGGAAATTTTATCTTAAAGCAAAAGTCTGAGTCCATCTGAGGAAGTAAGAAATAGAAATTTATTAAAAAGGGAAAAAGGAAAGGGAAAAACGTCATGAAGTGAGAGCAGCCAGCACGATCTTACAAGTGGTTCATGACGCACCAAACTGCCCCAAAGTCAAACAAATCATGGTGCGTTTTATACCCCTCTGAGTCTGAAAATAAGACGTAAAAGTCTGTCCTTCATTCTGCACCTGTATTAAACAATCCTCCAGACAAAACATTCAGAGATAAAGTATAAGGAGACTCTCTCTGAGACCTAGAAGGAGGAATGAGTCCCATGAGAAAGAAAAAGAACCTTTAAAATATTCACTTATGGAAAGTTACCAGAGAGAAATGAAGAAAGTGATTATACATAAATTGATTTCCCTAACAATGACTCAGCGGTTGCCCATCAATGGGCAGGTCTTTGGTTTGATCCCAGGCTATAAGTCGTGTTGTCTGATTGGGGAAGACATTTAAACAGTTGGCTGTAATGCAGCCTCAGACAGGGGGTGGTGTTACATCAGGAAGGGCCTTCTGTGTAAAAACTCCGGACAAAATTTACAGACAAACAACTTACAAATACACTAAATCTCACTTCTAATTCCTCAAGCCTTTTCTTTGGATCCTAGGGCTTCTGCCATACATCCGCTCTGCTGTTCTTTTCTTTAACTGGTTTCCACACTGTCGAGGTTTCCTGCAGCTGTCTGACTGGAGCAGCTTCCCAACATCGGAATATGCACTGATCCTTTTCGGCCTAATTCCCCTCCTCCGTGCACCCGACTTTCATTTACAAACAACCTCTGAAGCACACTCCAGCTGGTTCACCTTGAAAATGAGATTATTTGAAGAACTGATATCAGACTTATTATCCTGGACATTATCACATCATTATTGGACTTTCCTCTCACTGCTCCCTTTCTAACCTTGATATCAGCGGAGAGCTTAGGAGGATCAAGGAACTGTAATTAATGTGAGTAAAAAAACAGAGCAACCCAGGGTGAAACAAACAAATTAAATTTCCACCAACTTCAAAATATCTTGATGGCTTGACAAAAAGAACTGTTTTCATCCTTTCAGTTTAAAAGTCTTATCGTTTTGGTGAATTTACAACTATGAAATTTCCTATGTGCTATTAACAAGTCTTCATGGTGGATGTTGTACATTCAAATATATATGAAGGACTTAGATCTTGAAAGCTTTAATGCATTATACAATTTGAACACTGTTTCCAGAAGTCAGCCAACCCATGTGCTGTTTTACCCTATGTATAACTAACGTTGTATACAGTGACAGCATCTGTTATGGTAAGAAATAGGTCAGTCAAAATGGCATAGATTCAGTGTCTACCTCTCTTCCTTTCATATGAATCCTCGAGTGACACATCTACCCTCGTCCATTAACTGTTAAATCTATTTGCCATCAACCAAAACTGTTGTCTTTGTCCATTCTTAACAAGTTCACGCTGTGGACGGGGAATGATCGTTTAAAATCAAACATCCATGGGAACACAGCCACTACATAGAGATAAATCCAATCAATCAACAACATCCACAACTATTCTGTTTTTGAGCACCCTCAAGACAGCAAACAGGTCAACTGTAATGATGCAGAGGAGAGGAGAATGTGTATGTGCATGATCAAACATGAAAAACCTGAATATTTTCAAAGAGATTTCAGAATTTATATTGGCTGGGCTCTTACAGGAGAGATGGACTATCGAACAAGAGAGACTACTTGGTGTTGACCAGCCTCTTTGAGGCCGGTCTTGTAGATTTCGGATGGCTTTCTTTGAAGAAACTAATGCAACTGAGTCCAAATGCGCCCTTTATTCCCTCCTCTCCTTAAATTCTTCTCATCTCGAGCTTAGGAGTCGGACAGCAGGAAGATGGTCTATTAAAGATAACCGTCTTCCCTCTCCCGCTGTTCCCAATTGGACTTTTTGGCTGGTATGGGACTAAAAATCTTCATCCCCTTTCGGTCACCGTAACACAGAACATGGTTCATAGAGAAATGGAATCAGGGAATTAACCATTGAGATGGAAAGCAGACTAGTGCTGAGAGTCGCTTTTACTGAATCTGGAGTATCTGGCTTTATTCAGCCAGCTTCACCATTTTTTAACTAATTTAGTTCTTTTTTCAACCCCTTTATCTCCATTTTCATGGTGAGCCCTTAAAGGTGAAGGTATAAAACTTGATCCTATAATTTAATGAATGGACTCGGATGATTTCCTCCTCCTTGGCGGTCGGGGTCTCATGTAAAAAGTAAAAAGGATTACGGGTGGAGACTTTCTCTCATTTTTTTCGAAAGGAAATGTATGTGTGTGTGTTTCTGAAGTAATGGCAGGCGCGAGCTAGAAGGAGAGATTATTTCTTTTCTTTGAATTTAGTACGTCTAAACCTCAACTGAATTCCAATTGCTTTTTTTTAAAAGGAGGGCTTATGAAAGCTCAGCTTTAACTGCATTTGAATCCCCCCTGATCTGTCCACCAGATTTAATTAACCGCTAACCTTGCAGAACAATTCAACAAAAAGGGTCTGATAAGAATTCAGGCCCCTGTCAAAAACAAAAATAGGCTTTTGTATGAAGACATACTAGTAAAAAAACAACTAGCTCTACACTCAAATAAAATTTTGTTTTTCAATAACACGTTCCAAAAAGAGAGGTATAGATCAAAATTACGTTAATCACAATACACCAGTCAGTGATGTCATTATGATCCTACTAAAAAAAGCCTGTTTTTCCTTCCAAACAGCTCTCACCCACCAAGTCGTGGACTCCACGAGACGTTTAAAGACAGGCAGCAATATGTGGTACCAATCCGGAAGATGTGAGGTTAGCCCCTTGTATGGACTTGTGTATTACTGGTCATTTCCAGTTAGGTGGACCTCACCTGGCCATCCATTTGATCATTGAAAAATTTTTTTTTTAAATCGCTGAAATTATTTATGAACCTTTTGCTTGATTCATCAATTGCTCTCACTCACGTTACTAGATCCTGAGCAGAGCAGACCAGACAGATCTCAACAAAATCTGAAGCCCTTGAGATCGAATGGTTCTGTTTAGCATTTCTTTTTTTTTTCTCCTGACATCAACTTCAAACCTTGAAGAAACGTGCCTGATAAATCCCATCCAACACTAGTTGTCACTTGTCTTACACGTAATCTGTTCCTTGTGTGATAACTAGGGAAACTTTGACAGCATTTTTAAGGTATTTTTTTCAAATTAAGCAAAGATAATGTTGCCATCCATGTTTTGCACATTATACTACCACTGATGTCGTACCTTTTTATGGCTTGAAATGATAGATGAGGACATACCATATGTTTCTGCCAAAAATAAACTAGGTTGTTTATGTCTCTGACAGATGTGGAACATACAGCACAGGTAAAACAGACAAAAAAACGTTCATATTCAGTCCCTTCAATCTTTCTCGAACACCCATCTGTTATGGCTGTGAAAGGAAAGGTGTAGGCTGCATAAAAGGAACTTGATATCTACAGTATTTTTTGGACGCTAAATACTTGAGTTGGAAGAGGCCTATGTAGTTTTCAGTCAGCTTACAAAAAACAACCAACAACTAATTTCTTAATAATTTTATTACCAAAAAATACAACGGCATTGTGATGTAATACTGCCTTTGATGTTGAAAAAATAAATAAACACAAAGCAAGTGTCAAATTACATTGTGAGAGAAATCCATGTTGACTCTACATTTCAAAATTTGATAAGATAATAAAAATACACAAATCATAGAGAACATGTTATATCTCCTACACCTCCTTAGCTTTAAATGCATTCAGCTCATTTTGATGAGTTTAGCGTTAAACCCAGATTTCCCTTAAATAGGTTAGCGGTACATAAGAAGGGCATAAAAATCTAATTGAAAAGGAGAGTTTATTTTTTTAGTTTTTCCGTTTTTTAAACAAGATCATTACAAATATATAGCTTTTGATGAAAAGTCAGCTTTGCAATTCTATATGTACACATAAAAAAGTGAGCAAAATTTACTGACACATTAAAGGGCTGTTTCACAAACTTAGTGTGTTGCTTGAATCCCCCCAAAACTACTAAAAAGCGAACATTCTAGTTTCAAATAATAATTTGAACAATTTTCCTCTAAAATAAATATGGCACAAAACAAGAATATTGTGGCTGTGTACATTAAAGCTGACTGCATGAAAATGAACTGCAGAGAACAAAGGACATCCATATCAGTAGGAACTAATGACAAACATGCCTGTATATCTGTGCCTCTAAAATATATGACAACAAATTACAAGATTTTTTCCAGGATTAGTTTATACTGTTGTGTGGTATTTGTCTGGGGAGTTGTCTGTGAAGAAAAATAAGGATAGACAGACAAACCACAAGTAAAAGCCAGCAAATACACCAATTACCCCTAATTGTGAATAATGATCGCCAGGGTTTAGATTGTCTGATGTCAACTACTTCTAAAACATTGCATGTTGGTATTCTTGAAATTGTTCAGACAGGAAATTGAGCATAGAACATGTGAATATTGCCATATAGATTTTTAGTTTGTTTTGGGACATGATCAGATCATTTATAATTAGTTTTGAGAGGGGAGATGATCAATGTTATTTGATTTCTGGCTGAATTTTGCAACTGGTCAAATTTAGTTTGAAATCGGAAGCAGAGGGTTTGACAGCCTGAGGCACAGTTGAACACAGATGTCACCGTATAACAGAAATTTGTCAGTTGTGGCAAAAAAAACCCCAAAGAAAACAAATAATACATAGACATTATTTCAGCTTTAAAGTATGAACATTGTTCAAATTCTGCTCCTATATGGTAAAAGTCCTATTTGGAAATAACCTGTCAGTAAAATGTTACTAGCTTAAGCTAATGGCAATGAATGGCAAAGAAAGGATTTAATAGAAAAGATTTGATTCTACTGTATTTACTGTTATGCACACGTTGTTGCAATGGGTTTCTTTTAAATGTGTGAAAGTCCAGTGCTGGTGTAGGTAGGCGAGGCTGATCCAACACTTACATTCCTCTGAGGTGGTCAGGGAGGTAGAAACAGAGGTACGACTGACTTATTTGTGAAAGAACATGGCAGAACTGGCCGTTATAAACCGTTATTGACGCCTGTATCCTTCAAGTGATTCCATAACATGGGCTTGGTGTGTCTAAACAAGAAACAACATTGAGCTGAGCTAAGAAAAAGTCTGCTAGCCTGCTGCTGTTCCTCATTTATAATTCAGTCATCTTTTTGGATCTGATAAGGTGGAACGGACGGCAAAATAAAATGCCGTCTTCCTTCTACTTGGCAGGGAAGCCTTGTTGAACCAGAGAAATGCTGGAGTTTCTCAGGCTTTTTGGGTCAAAAATCTTAATCGGGCAATCCAGAGGTCTTGGTTGGGTGAAAACTAGTGTTACCCAGCAACCTCCTCCTCTCTCAGCTGTTGCTGTGTAAAGCTTTGTCCGAGCCAAACATTTTTTTTTCTTGGTTCTTAACTGGGATTGCACAGTTCACCTCCAGTACATATTGAAAACATTTTTTTTCCCCCTAATCCATCTGGCAGATGGAGCTGGATGTTTATGATACAAATTGGGTACAATTCGGACGATGACTGAGAGCAATGTGCACCTTCAGTAGTTAAACAGCCAACGCAAGGATGGACCTGAAAAGTACTTACATTGGGTGTAACTTTAGCCCCCTCAGGATGTATAAGGATGCTTTGTGCTCCATTTGCTGACTATATAAAGATGGGATATAGCGGGGGGGAGGGTTGGCACTGAGGGGTTTACACCATGCTTCCTACTGGTTGATTTCACTTTGTGAGGGTGTAACACGAGCATTCGCTGTTTAGCTGAAGTTTTTTTTCCCCGTACTGCCAGGAGTGATTCGATTATTTTGCCATTTGGTGCCATTTATAATGTTATCTTCTCACTACGAGGCAACACAGCGCAACCAAGACAAAGCCTATGTTGATGAAAGTTTCCATTTGTCATAATTTCCCTGTGCTGTGGTTTTCATATTAGGTCTGCGGTAATAACATTACTTTCCTGCTTCCACTCAATCACATGTCAAAGAGAGTACGAAGGAGGGCCACATCGGGGTCTCAAAAACTCCCTAACCAAATGTTATTATCACTTCAATGTCCTCTTATTTCTGTTATGCTCAGTGAAAGAAAAAAAAAGTGCTTTTGAGAGACTAGAGATTCCTTTAAAACGCTGATATATTTGTTTAACACAAAAAGAACAGGATAAAAAACACACATTTTAAACTATCAACTCTTAAAAACAAGCTTAAAACCCACAATCGCAACTGAAATTTAAAATACCATGGCACCTTTCAATTACAATAATAGCACCAGCAAAGCTAACATCCCTTTTTGTCATTCTTTTTGTCAACATGGTTTAACCCATTCGTCTGTCACTGGTGTATAACAGTCACCAAAGGCCACCTTCTCCTTTGTTGTGGTCAACTATTATACCTCTTTCGAGAATACACTTCTCTTCAAAGAGGCTACTTCATAACCCTTTGATAAAATAACATTTCTAATGAAGACGCAATCTTAAAACCGACTTGCACGAGAAGTAATTAATATCAAATGATATTCAAGCTGTGATTCATGCTTTCTGCACGAGTTTCAACTACCTTCTTTAACCGTCTTAGATCATCGGCCATGTTGGATTTAATTAATTAATTACAGTAGCAATGAAAAAACAGCTGCCTTGTAGTAAATATTACATTGACTGAAACGGAAAAGTCCCTGGTGAGGGATTGTGTGGATTTGTGAGGTATGAAAGAAAGAAAAACATAAAATAAAATAAAAAATAAAAAACTTGGGTCAAAGCTTCCGAGAGTGAAAACATAAAGATGAACGTTAACGGTTTACATGGGTTTAAAAATGTTTATAACCATTCCTTTTCGCAAAGAAAATAATTTCATCGATGTCCTGAAGCTTGTTCAAAGTATCAGGATCGGATACTCAGAGAAAAAGACACTTGGTTACAACTCCACACTTTCTAGAGGTAAAGAGACTTCATATGAAATGTTTGTGTGTGCTCTCACTCTGCTGTTTGGAGGCTCGCTTGGGCTCCCGCTTGCTGCTGCTCCTTGTTGAGGATGATGCTGATGATGTCTCCCTCGTGCTCCTTCATGTGCTCCATGAGTCGCTCTTTGTTGGTGGACTCGAAGCCACAGATGCAGCAGCAGAACAGCAGCATGCAGTACTCCGTGCTTGAACCTGGGAGCTGTCCGGGTCGAGGGTGGCTCTGTGGCTTTGCAGGATCCTTCGCCTGCAGACTCAGCGACTCGCTGGGACTCCGTGGAGGGTCTGTTGGAGGCGTAGGGGGGCCCGCCGTGCTGTCGATAGACGGAGCAGCTTTTGTTGCTGAAACGGCCATTGTGGAGGAATCTGCTTGACCCTTTGTTTTGTCTTTTGAGCATTGGGTCACCATGGGGCACTCGGTCACTGACTCCAGAACTGAAGAAAGCTTCTGAGGAGCTCTTAAGAGGAGACCGTAAACAATAGAGAGGCAAGGGTTAGAGAAAGGCTATACGGTATGCACATTTTTCAATTTTACATTTTTAAATTCCTAAATGCTTACATAAAGTGAAACAGCAATAAGAAAACAGAAAAAACTCTGTGAGCGTGCCAAGATTCCTGAACTGACTACTCATTAAAAAAAAGTGGCTGGTCTTCCAAGGCACACTTACTAACAATGTCTTTTATTAAAAAAAACATCTTAAAAACATGTTAGGAATTTGTGATAATGGTTTACCAAAAGTACAATGAGTCGCTTTGAATAAAAGCGTCTGCTAAATGCATAAATATAAACATAACATAACAATGATGTCTCAAGTAAATGACTATAAAATGGGGCGTATTCTTGGTTAGGTAAAAAGCTCCATAATGCAGCATTAGCCTTCATTTAGATGTCCCACCTAGTTAGTTATGAAGGATCCACAGCACCCCTCAGTTATTTGCAAATACAGAAAGAAAACCTGACATCAGCCCAAATGGCCAATAATGCTGCATTTGAGTTTCAAGAGCTTACCGGCTGCTCTGGGAGATGGCCTCATTAATGGCTTTGTTTACTTGTTCGTAGTTATAGTTCTTGTCTCCGGCGTGCTTCCACATGTGGGATTTCAGGGATGGGGGATGACTGCAGACGTAACCGCACAGAGAGCACCTGGCAGAAAGGAGAGAAAACACATTGGGAGTGTAAGAGAGAGGATGAGGGAAGGAGAGAAAGCCGATCATGGCAGAGATGATTTAATATGCGCACTGAAGTTCTACTAATCCTCCTCCTACTTTCCATCAAGAGGAATCATCCTGACTTAAAACGGCATGGGACACAGAGCTTTAGAGGCTGAGACAAAAACTGTTGAGGGGAATTACAGAAAAATGCCTGGGTCGTTTATCAAAATTTGAAGAATTATATGTGACACAGTAATGCATCATTACAACCTAAATGAGAATTAGTGTAAAGAACAACTGGCATAAATTCTAGCGATACCAAGCAAACCTGTTCATAATGGCATTGGAGCTCCACCCAATTAAAGCCTGTCCATTGGTTTAGCTGGTCAGTGATAATCTTCTATTCCTTTCATATTGTTTTATGGCAAATCAGTCATTCAAATTCTTCTCTAGGATTTTTTTTGTTGTTGTGTGACACAAAAAATGCTTGTAGCAGCGGGTTGTGTAGGGAAAAGTGATGGTGTCGCTCTTTAATTTTGCATCCATGATGGCATCCTCTGGAATTTGTGTGCCGATATCGCTTGTACATTTGCTTTTTTTGGGATGGTCTGGCACAGAAGCAAAGGCCACTGAAGAATAGCAGAAGACAAAAAACGAGTGAAGCCCTGGCAGAAAAAGACAAACGTGCCAGCTAGCTGAAGATATGCAAATGGTGTGTACGCTGACATTATCAAGTGATGAAACTATTCTCTATCAGCACACATTTGCATGTGACGTGTGGACAAACAGTGAACCTAATCTCTGACCGCGGAACGATATTCGGCGCCAGATCTGGAACGCATTCCCTGAGGGTGTTCTCGAAATATTAACACTCTACAAACAGAACACCTGAGAGCGCGTGCCTCGGGACACAGCTGTCGTGAAAACGGGGTGTAATGAAAAGCTCATTTTATTGATCAAATTTGATGCTAAGAATTTTTCAATTAATAGAACGTGCCCAAAAATGTCTCTTTGCCATGCTTATTATTTGATATCAGCAACCAGGACTAATGAGGCAAACTTTATTTGTAGATTGTTTTATGCACAAAAATGTGTTATTTCTCTGCAACTCTGAGATAAATAAATGCATTAGTTTGGATGAAGTGCCAGACTGTAAATTTCCTGAATGGATAGATGATGATATACCATTGATTTACATAATTGCTATACAGATTGGCTCTGAAATAATTGGAGAGAATCAATATTGGTGTTGTGGGGAATAAAAAAAAAAGTAAATTAACACAGAGTGGAAACTCTCATTTCTGATTTTAGTATACCAACGTGGATGTTTAAAGGAGAACCGATAAGGAAAACTCGCTCTTCAGGACATGATAAAATGATGTACCCTGATAAAAGAAGGTATTTGTATGTATGGAATGTGGGAACGTGACTAAAGAATGTTTCCTTAATTTTGTATGACTTCTCAGCTCTTGGCTGAAGCTTTGAGAACTTAATTTGCAATTCTTTACTTTTGTTTTGCTTTCAGCAAGTCATTTGCTGCTTAATAACGCACAGTAATATTTTTTTTATTTTGATTTCGAGTCTTAGCAAGAACTATATCCCTGTAGTTCAAAATTGATCCAATTGCCTCTAGGGTTTTTCTTCACTACTCATGGACTACTTAGGGATACTGCAATTTTCCAAGAGCAATTCCTGCTGCGGGCGTGTTCTATTTTTTATTTTTTCCAGACTGCACTGAATTGCTGATCTAGTCCTGCTCGTGCCATCTTTAGTATCTGATTAGTTTTGCTTTTTACCCGTCTAAGCGAGGCCTGCTTCACTTGAATCGAGAGCTCTGATTGCTTGTTGGGGGTTCCAAATGCAAATGGAACACTTGGAATCAACTCTGGTCCTTTTAATTGCCTTGCTGATGAAGAAATAATGAAGGAATAGCTCACACCTGTTCATGAAAGAGCTGCAGAATCAACAGTCCAATTACAGCGACTGAAAAAGAGGCTTTTACATGCTAAAGAGCTGTAATTCCACCAATTTGGAAGTGAAGGCCCTTAAGCTAAATTTGAAATAAAGCAGTTTATGTTAATGTAATTTAATGTTTTGGTAAACAGGTAAAATTGCAATTATTGGTTCTTGTGCTTTGCAGGACACACATAGGCCTATGGACGTCTCACCGGCATGTACATCATTTATTTGTTAATAATGTGGGCAAATAGCTTAGTTCTGCATCCTATAAATAGATGTGTGCTAACACTGAGCCACATAATAACACTAATATATCTATTCACGCTCATTTTTGGTTATTTTACATTGTGAATATTACACAGCAAAGCCTCTTGGAATGTGTGGCATATTACGAATGATAATCTGATTCAGAGAAAGCCGAAACCTTTTATCTCACACAATGCATTTAGGAATTTATAATTATCATAAATGGAATAATTGTCCTGTTGGTATCCACACAGTTAGGCAGTTAAATCTGTAACTAGGTCTACGTAGGTCTTATGAGATGATAAGATATGACAAAAAAAATTAGCAGCGAAAGAAGGGAGGTTATTTTGATTATAATAAATTTGACTATTTATTGCCTTTATCTTCTCTTTAACCTTGCTGTAAATGTAGACTCCTTTACTAAATGAACAAAGCATATTCATATAATAACCAGGTGGATAATGTTGATTAAAAATCTTTGTTTCCTTCCATTTAAATACAAATCATTCCAGTTATGGCATACTAAATTCTGGTTAAAAGTCAGGTCAAAGCAACTTTGACATCTTTGGATTTAAAAAGGTGGGAGGAAAAAAGAAAAGACAGCAGAAAATCTTGATATTGAAACTAAAGGTGAAGCTTTACACCATGTAGTTTAGTTTGCCAGGTATGTTTATTTGAGTATTTGTGTCGCGAGTTATTCATAAAAAACATTCTTTCGAGTTGTCCTGATATCTAAAGATTTTTAAGAAATATCACCTGAAACATATGTATGATAAATATGCACGCTTTGTTTCTTTTATAATAATTAGTGTTTATAAAACTACTGTCTGAAGACTTACGCTTTAAAAGTCATGTCTACTTTGACATTGTGTGTAGACACGTAGAGAAGCCCATACGGACAATACAGACAACTAATTCTAAAACTCTGCGAGTCAGCAAAAGTCCTAAAAGTACAGAACTATTGGCCAAACAGGTCAATCAGTCAATCTCTAATCTAATCTCTTGCAGTCACTTGAGAGCACCTTAATAGTGGGTATAGAATGCTTCAATATATCTGCCGTTTCAGTTTTGAAACTATCTGTCGATCTGAAATCCCCTGGAGTGCTGCAGTTTTATATAACTGGAGTGCAAGTTTAAACGACAAAGAAAAGGCCTTTGTGCACCTTGTCTGTGCCATTTTCTTTTTTCTTTTTTTTTTAAATGTACAGACTCACGCACGTACAAGCTTTGCAGGTACTGGAGACAAGTGCTAAGTGAAGTGGAAATCAGCAATCAGTGTCTGATGATATTTAACTTAAGAAGTATATTGACTTTTGCAATCCACCGACCGGTAACCTTGCAATCAGAGGCACATTTCTGAGGTAGAAACGTTGTTAGCTCTATGAGGGCTCGCTGTGTGCTCTCGAGGGGGTGCGGGTCCTGATCCAGCTTTTGATTCTCCCTTCAGATGGCCGTCTTTATTTTTCATCTGCCGTGCGCCCGTTTGCACTCGCTCACCTGTACTGCTCCAGCAGCTGCACGGCCTGATGCTCCTGGGGGTGCCTCCTCATGTGGCTCTTTAAACTGTTCATGTTGGTGGTGGCGAAATCACAGCTACAGCAGCTGGCGGGAGAGAAAAAAAAAATCAAAGAGTGAGAAAATCAAGAAGACGGAGCGGTCGCCAGTTTAACAAGCTGCATTCTGAGGTCAGTGTGCTGCTTCTTTACACTTGTAGCCTGAAGGGGGGATAGGGATTTACAGCAAAACAGAGAGGAAATTGCCACTTTAAGAAAAAGAATAAATCACTGTGTTTTCTACTCTCTGGCACCGTGGATGCTCTGGCTGGGAGATGAGACTGGCTTTTGTTGTTGCTTAGGGGCCAATACTGCGCTGTCCAAGGTCCACAGACAGAACCTTCCACTCAACTCATGGCCATTTGCACACCCTCAAAACAAAGAAAGAAACAAAGGAATTTTCCAGTCTTAAAGCACAGCACTTGAACAGACTCAAATGATTTGAAATTAGTTACATTTTAATATTGTTATCTTTTCTTTTTTAATTAAATTGCGTGAACAATAAGCCAACAAAATGTTTTTCCCACACTAGTGTCTTTTTATTTTTTGGGGGGTTAGCGGCTCCAAGGCAAACAACCCAACACCACTGCTGGAAACTGCTCACTGTCAAGAAAAACAGTGCGTAGAGTTCTACTCAGTGTGTTTACTGTGGCTCATCTAAGCTGGTGCTGCAGAGAATAAAAGACGTAGCTAAACTTTAAGGATGCTGGAATGCAGAACGTGGTTTCTTACATCCGTAAATGGGGTCTGTGCCGACTATCATCAATTCTGATAAATTTCAGCTTTATTCATTTAAATAAGGAAGTTTTTATGTTGCCAATTCTATGGCCAATCGGGCAGTGGGGACTATGGAGCATTCAATTTTACAGTCAATCCAAGTTATGGTCATACTAATTCAACTCTAAACCATGTCATTTGACCGTTTTTCTCCAACTTTGAGAAATTTCTGTTTGTCTTTTAGCTCAGACAACAGTACTGTGTGGAAAACAGTCACATATTTCCAAATATTTTACTTGAAAGAAGCTTTTTTTTTTTCTTAATGAAATTTAAGTTCAAGTTCTGTCAAAGTTTAGTTTTTTACACCGGCTGCTTTTTTACTTATTTTTAATCCAGTATTTGTACCAAGGCATTTATAGAGGAAAAGGTTTTTGCGGGTTGAGCCATTTAATGCTGACCTATGAATTATTCAAGAATTTTAAAAAAAGAGCTCTAACTAAGAGGATGCACCAGTGTTGCTGACACCAATGTTACACATTAAATTGTATCTTTAGGCACTGTATTGCAAGCAGGCTGTCAAGATATCACATAACTTTTCCCTGTTTCTTTTACTCTATTTATGAAAAATATCAAAATATAAAACAGGCAGCCATTAAAAGTTTTGCCCTTAGGAATCAAAAATAAATACCACTAAGGCAAGACACCCGAACATTCCATTTGATCAAATTAATACACACTAAAGTCCCTAAACATGCCATTTGTTATGATTCAGCACTATATGAATAACTGATAAGCGGCAGAAAATGGATGGATGGATGAAGTTTCTTCGGATGGAGAAAATGCTTTACATATGCATGAAGGATTTAGGCTCATAAAACCTCAACAAGTTAATCACCATTATCAGGCGGACTGGGAACACTTCTCATGATGACCTAAATGAGAGCAAAACTACAGCTTTTAACACTGTTGCATTCTATGGTGATAGTTGTTTAAGAAATGCTTTTAGAAAAGATTTTGAAAATCATCAAAATAACACCCTTATCGCCCTTAAAAAGGCATCTCACCCAGCAGGAAAAGCTCTGCATGGCAAGCCATTAAAAGTAAAAAATTCTGCGTTTGACATAGTGGTGAACGGAATGAATATTAATGGAGCTTCAGTCCCCATGCCACAATGATAATATGATAATAAGCTTTATGGCACTTTGCCCATTATACGATTGTTTAAAAGCAGATTAAGAGATATTTGAATATGAACAGTTTGTAGTTTGTCTGTATTATTGTTATGCAGTACAGATTTCCGGTGATAAGTACAATCATTATCAGGGCAGAATTACCATAATATATTGTCTACTGAGGCCTCATCTTAAACTAATTTAAAACAACTGCTTATGCAATTAGTGAAGCAATCAAAAGTGTTTTGATATCAACTGTGTTGCAAACAGACCATCTACAGAGACCAAACGTGGTCTTTAAAAAATGACAATTTCTTGTATATTGTAAACATATTAGACAAAAGACTACTGAAGCAATACAGGTGACACATTTGTCTCTCTTTGGAGTGGTTTGGTAGCATCTTGGTTTGGCTAACACAGAAATGTTTGGGGTGGGTCCAGTCCTGCCATTCCTCTGCAAACCTGTAATTTATGTTGAGAGTCAGCGAGGCAAATTAACTAATTTTAGTTTAAACTATCACAAACTTGGAAACTATTTGTGGAGATTTGATAGTCAAAAACATCATCTTGCTGCTGACATTTCATTCAGAGCTCCAGTAATCACTTTAAAATAACATAAAACCATGTAAATTGACTGGACAAACCATTCACATAAAGAAAAATAATAACTTTGTTAATGATCATATAAGAAGCTGGACATAAATCTCTGAACAAAGCAGAAAACAATGGGCCATTTCCTGCCAATCAGCTCGTCATAATATTGTCCGTCTTCATGAAAATTAAACAAGGGGCACGGCCATAATTCAGCACACAATAACTAGAGTGAACTTAATTAAAGAAAAGTGGCTTTCATCCATGAGATCATTATTCTTCAATCATTTCCTGTCATTCTCTGTATATCCTATGTTTGCATAATCATATCTGGATTAGCTCACAAACCCTTTTTTTTTAACAGCTTTAACGCCTTAAGCTAACAGAAGAACCTTGTAAGTGAATTTGATATGCGTAAGTGCCCTCTTACCGGACACATGCATCCATCTAGTTCAGTTCTCACAAATTCAAGTGATAATGGGAGTGTGTCTGTGTGTGTCAGTCAAAGTAAGGGCACCAGCTAAATCTACCTTAAGTGATCTCTAAATGCTGATCTGAGGATCGCCGGACCTTTACTGCCATCTAATGGACCATTCAAATATCCCATCTACAGTTAATGTGCATCTTAAATGGATCTCAGATGCGAAGCACGTAAAACTTTATTACCTCAGTGTGAGCAAAGAGGTCCAGAAAACTAAACAAAACAATCCAAACATAAATAACTTCACTACGCACTGATAATAAATGGAGGTACCCGTGACACATCACATTCTAATTTATTTTTCCTACATCTGTTCACAGAGTTCCCCCAACGCACTCAATTTAAACTTTAAATATTAAGAACAACATCAAAAGCATGTAAATGATAAATGCATGTTACATTATTAATACATTAAAGTGTTAACTCTTTTTGTAAAAGGTAGAATGTATGATCTATTTCCAACTCTAAGGGGTACTGAAGTGCAATTATGTTACTCTGAAACTAAACACATTCCTAAAGAAATGTCTTGAGTGACAATTGGGATTTTGCTATTATTCATTATTATAAAAGAAACAGAAAAAGCTGACAGCTGCTTGGAGAGAATCCTCTAATTTTAAGGTATTGTATTAGTGGGGCCTGAGAACAGATTTCAAGTAGGGGAAGCAATGGCTGAATGGTCAAATACCAAAGAAAAACTAACCAAAACAAATCCCAAAATTAAAAAGAGAAACTTATGCTCTGCCTAAGAAAAGTATAACTTTAATGTTTTTTTTCCCCACAGAGAAGTAATGATTGCCAGCCTAAGTCACAAATCAAACATAGTATATCAAACTGAACCATAAAAAGCCATAGAAAACGTATTTATAGGTATGTATTAATGCTGGAGCAATTCTAAACTACTTGAAAAGTAAAACATCCTTCAATGCAATGGAATGTATTATGTATTACATCTACATAAATCTAAAGATTTGATCAGATACTTAACTATTCTGACCATTATCTACCTTCTCATTTTCGACCAATGTGCTTCTACTTGGCCCCAGATGCCTTGTCATTACTCTGCCTCTGACCGGCTTGTATTCTTTGCTTGGAAGCTTTGCAGTTAGATGGTCAGTAAGGCTTCGCATACTGAGTAGGATAAGAACCAGAAACAAAGAAATGATAATAAAGTAACTTGACAAGTTCTTGAACAGATAGCTGAGACTTGTATTATGCATTTGGGGGGCATCGTATTTAGGTTTAGCCTAAATCCAAGTGTAAATGGTGATCATCCATGGCTCTTTTCCACCGACTTACCGATACGGTTTGTCTGAGTTATGAATCCGCCTGTGGTTCCTCACCCCGACGTATGTAGAGCTGGTGTAGTTGCACGTGTCACATTTGTACATCTTCTGCACACAACAATCTGGAAGATGGAACAAATAGAGCAGGGTTTTTGAAGCTCCCTGAGCAATAGGGATTGATGCGATTACCGCCGCATTCACACAACACCCAGCTTTCAGTGTTTCACCTTCATCCGTTCCCCGATCAGATTCCTCTGCCGCGACAGACACAGTTTCAGTGACTGCCGTGAGAGCCGTGTCATCGCTGCTTAAGCTGAGGTGCTCTCTTTCATGACTTCTCAGCTGACTCTAGTAGGAAAGAAAGAAGAAAAAAAAACACACCCATGCTCACGCAAAGATTTGGCATCAAAGAAATGATAATATAGGTGTTCAAAAGAGATTTAGGTGCACTTCGTTGATACCACTATGCAGGCTGAACAGATCCTCTTACTCATTAATGCCACCTCCGGGATAGACTTCAGCATTCATTCATAAGTCTTTCTGGTCTAACTCCCAAATCCGTGAGATAAAATTACTAGTCTAATCATCTCTGAGGCAGACAGGCAGCAGAGTCCCGTGGTATTAGTCAGATCACTTGTATCCTCCGCAGTCTGGATCATCAGACTGTTAAGCTTGCACCTCAGAACTGAACCGTTCATCTCTTTTTAAATAGACACTCACTTTTCAATAAGTTGGCTATTAAGACTTGAATTCACTTACTTTTTTTTCTCTTTTTGCAAACGAAATATGAAAAAAATGTAAAAAATCATATAACAGCACTAACATGGTATGACTTGAAGATGGCAGAACTTATAACGCAGACCTGTACTATTTGGCAACAACAGGCAGAGCTGCAAAGGTTTACACTTCCTCCTCCACTTTCTTACCAAATTTACAACTTTGCATCTGTAAAATACAGAAACAAATATATAGCTAACCTTGCACAGGGCTGGCCTATAAACTGATTGAAATCCATTAATCAAAGTTGTGTTTTCAGGGGTTTACTTTTTTTAAACTTTTTTTCAAAGGTAGCTATGATTCTAATGTTAATATCCACCACATGTGTATAACTGAGGCCCTTTAACAAAATTATCAGTTTGATAAGATTACAAGAATTTAGTTTTCCAAGTAAAAGCATCCAATTCCACCTGTTAAATGTAACTGTAATCTCAAGAAGGCACTTCAAGTTAGGTGAATTAACTTCTACATTCATGGGAGTTTGGAGGTGCACTGCTTCAACGCGGAAAAAATATATTAATTTTGATGGAATTGTTTTATCTAATGTATTATGCACAAGAATGTGTACTTTTTGTGGCTTATGTTTGACTGAACAAATGGGGAAATCAATTTTTTGACACAACCCAGAAGGGAAAATTACTTTTTTCCCCCTTTTTAAAAGTGCTTCTGTAATAGAGGACACAACTCTTTTTTGCTAATTAATCATTGTAGTTTTTTGCCAGGGGCTAAAAAATAGGATTCCAAATATGAAAAAAAAAGGAGAGAAAATCATATTGCGATTCAATTCTGTGAAAAAGCTGGGAAACACAAACATGGGCACTACGCTGCTCTCAGCGTTGTAGCACACAGCTAATAATCTAAAAACAACTTTATCCATTAAAAGAAAGGGTGCAGCAGGAGTGGGCTGCAGTCTCCTCACCTTGTAATGGAAGGCATCGGGACACTGCTTGCACTGGTACATCCTGGTCTTGCAGTGGTGGATCATGTGGTTTTCCAGGTCTTTACTGTCTGAGGCTTTGTGCTCACAGATTGGGCATTGATATGGCTGCCTCTGTTTGTGCACCCGCAGGTGCTGTTTAATGTAACCCTTATTGCCGCTGCTGTAGCGGCACAGACGGCACCGGTAAGGCCTCTCGCTGCCGGGAATGTAATCCACCAGCCCCCCGTCCGGGGAGCCCACCAAACCGTCCATTCCCGGGATGTTGCACACGTAGGTCTCCGCTCCGCTCCCCGCGACCACTCCAGCCACGGACCCGTTCTGGAACTGAGCGTTGTCCTGGAGCTCTTTCAAGATGTCTTCGTCGGAGGCGTTCTGGTCCGATCGCTCTCTGAGTTTTTCGATGACGGTGAGCAGCGAAAGGCTGATGCCGGCCTTGGCGGCGGGGCTTTCCTCGTCTCCGTCCCCGATGCTCAGCGGCCCAAAGCTCTTCTCTTTGCCCTCACTGCCGAGCTCCAGGTCAAACAGGGTGACTGGTGTGCCGATGTCAGAGGTCTTCTGTCCGGTTCTGGTCACCTCAAACAGGTTTTGATCGACTGGTGGGCTCTGCTCCGTTTTCAGACTTACCTTAACACCGGAGGCGGGAAGCTCCGGCGTCCTCATGGGCATGGCCACAAGAGCCTCAGCAGCCAGCGAGTGCAAGCGGAGAGACTCAGAATGTGTCCTCTTGCGACCAGCAGGAGGCATGTTTTCATCCTTTGGTGACTCTGTAGTTTTAGTAATGGAGTATTTTATATTGCTTTCTGCGGGTTGACATTCCATTTCATCTGGACTACAATCAAGTATCACCTCCTCCTTCACATTTGCCATGTGGTCATGCTTTTCTTCCTTTTCGTCTAGTAAAACATTGTCACTGTGGACGTCTGAGTTGAGAAGGAGAGGCTTGGTCGTTATACCTGAATCCTCGGCTGAGGGAAGGCGTTCCACAATCACGTTGATGTGGCCGGCGCTGTTGGGACCGCTGTTGATGATTTTCTGAGCTGACGACAGGAGGCTGTCTGCGATAGAAGTTCTTTTCCTATCGATGTCCACCTCGGGATCTGCCTCGGTGATCACCTGAACCTCCACGACGGGCTCCTCTGAGCCCACGTCTTTGACGGGATAGGCATCTTCGTCCTCTCCCTCGGTGAATTCGGGACTCTCGCAGGGTTTAGATACTGGTGGATTCAGAGCATCCTGTTTGTTCTCAACACTCAAAGGCATGCAGAGCTGAAGTCTGAAGGCTGTGGGGAGCTTTTGCAGGCTTTTGTCCTGAAGAACTGGGGAAAAAACAACTAAATCTTCTCTTGGTGCCAAGCTGTTAACGGCAGCTTGGACCTCTCTTCTCGCGGATCCACCTTCCTCGTCCTCAAAGATGGGATAAGAGCAGTCAACCAGCCCGGCGTGCTTCCAGGCGTGGGTTTTGAGCATTCGCTGCTGACTGCACACATAACTACAGATCAAGCAGCGATACAAGCCGTATTCTTCATAGCTGTACCATTTTTTCTTTTGAGGTAGCTCCACAGAACAATCCGTCGACCCTCTGAGCATCTCACTTCCTTGTCCACAGTGATCCGGCCTTCTTAAAATGTCACCCTGCCCCTCGGCGCACGGATCCAAATGGGGAGAATCTCTTTTCATGAATGCTTCGTCGAAGTGCAGCCTGACGTGCGCCTCCAGCTGTGCCTGGTCTCTGGATGTGAAATGACACTCCGAGCACATGAGGATGAGGTCACTGTGCTGCTCGTTGTGCTGCTTCAGGTGTTCTTTCAGCTGGGGCAGCGTCTGGGACAGATAGGGGCACAGGCTGCACTGGTAGCACGTCACAGTGCGCTTGCCGTCGGCGCTGTTAAAAATACTACCCCCCTCCGTCACTGTGGAGGCGATGCTGTTGTTGTTATCATCACCTGAGACGGGTGACGCGAGAGCGCCGACATTCGTGCCGCCATCTGCTCTCACCCCTTCGCTGCAGTTCTTTTTTATTTTCTTCGTGCAGGCCTCACTGCTCAGGCCCTGCTCTCCTCCCTTTCCCCCGACGCAAGGAGCCAAGTGGAGCCCCCTTTTCTGACGCTGCGGCCGCTTCTCAACTATCCTGCTGAGCTTCTCGATGACCTGGATGAGAGAGTCGTCCCCTTGTTTCTGCTGAGTACTCGTGGGGATCTGCCGAGTTATAGCTTGCTCCGCCTGGGTTTGAGGGTGAGATCCTATAACTGATGCTGAAGAGGAGGAAGAGGAAGCAGTGGAGGAGAGGACAAGTACACTGCTACTCTCATCCATGACCTGGCAGACAGAAAGCAAGAAAGTGAGTTAGTAGCTGCAACAACAGAAGTTTTTAAAGTATTTTTAATATAAAAACAATGATTGAAACTCCCCCATGTGCCCATGAAACAGCATTTAAGCAGTCTGTTGCTTTGACATTAAACCTTTTTTTATCTCATAACAAATTCCAATAAACATTTTTACAATCAATTATTATAATGATAGCTTTTTTTAAAGTATGTGTTTGTCCAACACAAAATTCATTCTTCTCACATAAGACTCAGGTAAGGTACAATAAAAGTACAATAAAGTACAATAAAAGAAAATACTGTTCCTCTACTCCTCCATAAATATCAAAGCCCTGTAAATGGATTGGGGTTTTCAGAATAACTTGAAAGCAAAATGAACACAAGTTGAACAGAACGGCCTAATCCATTCACAACCTCACTGGTCAATAGAAAGGCTTGTAAACAGATGCACATGGAGCATCTACTCACAGGCTAAGGTTTAGGGAAATTGTTGGGACTCTTGCGGTCAAACCCCTTTCATCTTCACAAATCCAAACACTTTCTTAGTCTTCATTTCCTGACCGCAGGTCTCCTTCCTCATTTTACTTCAGTATGACAGCATCTAAATTCGGGACGCATATTTGAGGAAGTGTACTATTTATGGTGGCTGGCATTTATTCAGATGGATGACTAATCATCTTCATCAAGCATCACTAACAAAACAGAAAAAGAAAAAAGATAAATACTACTTAGATACTTTAAGATACAGGTTGAATAAATTGTCATCCTGTGAGAGTGAACATACAGCACGTAACGTGCCAAAACAGCTAAGGGTCTCATTCTTGGAGGAAGCTATTCCCCTGTCAGTCATTTGAAACGCATTAACTTGAAATGGACTGGGCTCAGTTTAGTTTCTCTCCACGGGTTGCTTTAGACCGCCTAAAAAGAACATCTCTTAAGTAAAGGTCTAAAAATATGGCATCCACTTCCACTCCACGGTGAAATAAAGTTCCAAATAGCCTTCAAACTCTCAGACTGTTCCAAAAACTCCAATGGCAAATGTAATGGTTTATATAAGCTGACAAGGTAAAGCTTTTAAGATACAAGCGAGCTTTTTTTATAAAAGGAAAACCCCACAAATGCGGGGAAACAGGGCACACACTGTTAGCTTCCCAGTTAGCTTCACAGCTTGCTGTAGTCAAACACACGAGTCTCACCCAGTGCTAAGAGTTCCACACATCAATGTACAAGGGCATTTTATGAATGGCTCCGGTAAATGAGTAACGGAGGAACACGTAGTTGTTGTCACATGAAAATATACTCACTGGGAAAGCAAGGCTCGACGCTCTTTGTCCTCAGTATATAAAATGCTTTGTTTTATATGTTAGCCATAAAAAAGTAGCCTCACTCTCACTCACATTGCAAAATGGCGAGGATGGAATATTGGTCACGTGACTACGAGTTTGCGTCAGGTGACCAACGGCAACAGACGACTGACATGCTGCGTTTAGGTACTGATCGTAAAATTGAAACGGAGAAAACGCAAAGGCTGTGCGTTCACTTTGATGGAACTGGATTAAAAAGATAATAAAAATGACAATATTAATGTAAGCACTGCATTATATTTTTGTACTACTCATTAGAAGCGCCCTAAATCTGAAGAGAGTCAGGGTACACCCCAGACAGGTGAACAGTCAACACAAATTTATCTTGTCTTCCGTTTCTAAAATATTTGTTACATTCACAAGAATAAAACTTTGCGTTCTGTGTCACTAAGTAGAAGTATGATCACAAGGTGGTTTTTAGCCTCCACACAAAGTTTCTCCTGCTTTCTCTTCTGACTTTTTGTTTACTCTAAACAGTTTTTTCCTGACTCAGTGTATATGTTTTTAGTCACTTCATCAATCATTTGGAGTGAGCGGAGCCTGTAAGGTGAGTTGTTCAAATCTGTGAACAATATTCAGCACAGCCTTTCTTTTGTCCTCAGATTTGCTCTTTCTACAACAAAAGCATAATCAAGTATAATTGATTCATGAGGTTAATTTTGAGATTTGGTTTTAGGTTTCACACTTGACATGACTGCTGTGTGAAAATGTATTATTACATTTAATTGATAAAACTTTGCAGTTGAAACATGATATGAATATATAAGATGAATGCAAGTGGAATGAAATACTGTAGTAAAAGAAATATGAAGGGTCACTGCAAAAAACTGTCCTCAAGGAGAGGAAGTCAGTCCAGCATGAGATATGGCAGCTCCATCCAGAAGATTTGTGTTGCCAAACAAGAATATAAGATAAATCGAAAGGCTAGGCTCCGGAGGAAACGAAGAGATTAAAAAGAGGGAAGAACATCTCTTTTTAGCTCCCCCTCTTTGCTCTAAGGGAAGAAGATGCAGCCATAGTTGCTTAAGGGGCTGAACTAAATCAAGAGCCAAGAAAAAAAAACAATTTGTGTGCAACACAGCCTACATGCCCTCAAAGAGAAAAGCATGAAAACACGAACGTCTGCTGATTAACTTATATGAGTGCAGACAAATTAATGTCAGCCATCAAGAGGAACGTTTTTAGTTATAAAGAGAGGCAGCTCAACAAGCTTGTTAAAAACAAAGAGAAGTTCCAACAAACGATAACAGAAGAACTTTTGCCAAGACCTGGAGTGGTACAACAGTGGAGACTTTTGTTTAAAAATATCCTCAGAACCCTGATGGTTGATCAAGAGAGAAGCTTCACAAAAAAAAGCCAGACCTTCCGGAGGGAGCTCTCTGTCAAAGTAAAGAAAACTACAAGAGAACAAGTCTCAGAGCTCTGAAAGCAGAGATTCTGGCGGCAGAAGAAGGGAAAAACCAGGGGTGAAGGGGAGATGCTGCTGGCAAAGCTCTGGATCCATCAGAAGTTCAGGATGAAAGAGAATATCCAACTACTCAGAGAGGAAAATGCACTGCATCAGCTTACCATTTAAAGATGAACATTTTTACTGGTGAAACTGGGAGAAAATGTACAACATTGAACTGATTTCTTATTTCAGGGACTTGTCCTGGGGAGAGAAAGAGTAACAAACCCCTGCAGGTGGAATATCAAGGCACAAAAACACCAGTTTTACCACTTTCTCTGCATGTGCCTTTAACTATACTGCTTTTCTTTTAGCTGGTTCAAAGTTGGCCTGCTCAAACATTTGGCCTTGTTACATGAAGTGAAGTTTGATTAACATTTCTGTTGTTTTTAATATGTCAATAATAGTGCTTTTCCTCAAAGAAAGAGAAAACATTTGTCCACTGTTGTGTGGCTATTTGTAATGCCTTGCTACAGTTCAGCACAGCCCTCTAGTGGCTATTGTCTTACAAGGTTTATGCTTGTCATAATTCTAATGTTTGATGTTTGGTTTAACACCACTTAAAAAAAAATATATATATATAATATATAAGATATATTATAATACATATATATGTATATTATAATAATTATATTATCATAATTATATTGTATACATCATTATATATAATTTCAAGAGTTTTCTGTGTCATGAGCAGGTTATAAGTATGTTTATTCTATCAGCTCTAATTCATTAATAGTTAGGCCGTGAAATAATTGTGTGGTTTTGCAGCATTTTGCAGCATTTTGCTGCTTGATTGAAAGTATTACTATTTCATTCTCTCTTTAAAATCAACATTTAGTGTCAAGTATCATACATAGAGTCCCTGAATACACAAATACACAACAGTAGAATGAATCACAAAGTTATAAATCAAAAAGTCTGACAGAAGATTTTAAACAGCTTAAGATTCATTCTACAAAACAACTTGTTTCCATTTACATTACATTGTCTTTGATGAGATTAGGTTTCTCTCACCTTGACTGGTTTAGGTTGGAAAGAAACAAAATAAATTAATTAAATTAAAGTAAATTAAATCTCTTTTGTAAAATTTCTTAAATTACTTTCCAATGATTGTTGAACAGGATCTGTTCAATATAACAAAGATTCTTACAGATGGAATGATAAACTTTTTTGTATGAATTGAGATACAAAGGCTGGATTTATGGGACATTCTGGAGCCTAAATGAGAATGTGCATATAACAAGAATAAACAGCAAATGTGTTATATTTTTGTTTTCGAATTTTTAAAAATATTCTGAATATTCATACATTTCCATGCCGCTTTTCCCCAACAGGATCGCAGGGGGGCTGAAGTCTATCCCAGCTGACAACAGGTGATAGGGGAGGTACACTGGTCAAGTCGTCAGTCCAACGCAGGGCCATACAGAGACAAACAACACACTTGCATTCACTCCAAGTAGAAATTCGGAGTGTTCGCTTAACCTAGCATGCTGGTTATTGGACAGTGGGAGGAAGCTGGAGTATCCATTGAGAAGCCATGGAGACACAGGGAGAACATGTAAATTGCACAAAGAAAGGTCCTGGTTCCCCGAGGGACTCAAACCAGGAACCATCTTGCTGTGTGGTGACAACAACACCAACAAAATACTGGTTTAATATTTTTAATCATTAGAATAAATAGAATATCTGTTTTTGAACTATTTGATCTAGCTCCATCTGCCCTTGTCCAAACAATTTCCTTTCAGTGTTTTTTGTATTTTCAATTTAATTTAGAAGATTTCAGTAATATACAGTACATACCGGATGTCAGATCATATCTTTTTTTATGCTTAAAGTTTTCCTTTGTAGCTTACTGTTTATACAACTAGCAGTTATATGACAATCCATATTCAGGTCTTATTTATCATAAAATTGATGAAAATGAGTGTAGTATTACCTCTTAAACTCTGTGCAGTGCCAACTGTTGTGGAATTTTTCATTTTGAGCAGGACTCATAGTCCATCTGAGTCTTTCATGCTGCTCTGCAAGAAAAAATAATGTTACATTCTCTAAACTTCCCTGAAAAGAAAACAGAGGAGGTGACAAACCTCAGACCTACACACCTGCTGAGGTGATTTGACAACACAAATCCAGTAACCAACAAATTCCTGGAGGCCGTCAGCTGTGCCTTTTACCCCACTGAACAACCTGATCCATCAGGCAGTCTCCAAGAAAAAAATATGCTGTTGCTCAGAAGAAGAATAAAAGAGGAAAATTACGAGTAAACGAATCATATAAAAACATTTCCATAAAAACAAATCCCTGCTTTTGATTATAATGATGCATGTTATATTAGTCAATGTTAGGAAAAACAATACTGATAGGATAAAAAAATTTTGTTTTAAATCTGACAAAATTTCAAGAATTCATAGAGTTTAAGCATAGACTTCATCATCATTCCCCAGAGCTATCTGAGTGAAAGGAGTGGTATTTTTCTGTGCAATTACAAAAGGAAACTGTATTGTCTGTTACAGTTTCAATGGAATGTTTCAAAGGTCAAGTGAATAACTGCTAAATTGCCTTTTTTAACCCATGATATTAATAAAATAAATAGTAGCATACTTCTGGGTGAGATTGACACAGGAAAACATTAGTAAAAACTTAAACAACACTCAGGTATGTCTGGTGAGATGGATCCATCCACATGCTTGTGGCTAATTGTTCGGTCAAGACCTCAATTGCACCATAGGAATAATTGACAAACCTTTGTTGGTAATAGAAAAGATAATTTGTCTAGTCAACATTTCTATTGATTGTGGCCTTAGATAAATGGTTATCATTATTAGCCCCTGACGTATCCCAGGTAACAGGGACAATGATGTTAAAGGATGAGTGGGAAACCTTACCTTACCAACACTAAGGAAACCCCAAAAATTATAGCACACCTAATAACTACCCAGAGACCTCTGCAGGGGTATTTGTAAATTAACCAGACAAATATGTGGATGGAACCATCTCACCAGGCATACCTGTGTAAGCAAGAGGCTGAGCATCCTTCCTAAATTCTAGCAATACAGAATTTTGGTCATTGGTTATTGATCTAACAGTATAATCCAGTTTAAACCGAATATTGCATTTATAAAACACGATTATATCAAATGTCACTGATTCGTTCCATCTGCATACACATGGACACATGGTGGAGCTGTTGCAGAGTCGGATGGTGTGTGAGGTGATGGTCAGATTCTTTCTGGTCAGTCTTTCTTCTGTGTCAGAGGTTACTGGCACTTGACACACCGATGTGATGGTTTCCTGAGCAGGCTGGGATGAGCCAGATAAAGTGACCAATGTGCACAGAGGTAAATTAAGTACAGTGTACTATTGATAATAGTGGTGATACTTAAGTTAAAGTATCAGGTAATTTATTATTGAAAATAATGGTGGTAATCCCAGCATGCTCAGCAAAGAACCTTAGCCATTCAACAACTTGGTGAGTTTTCTTTTTCTAGATTATCAGAAAATAAATATTGCTATTCTATGCATCATATCTAAAATGTTTTTCTGTACATGAATTATGAATTCTTGGCAAACTATAACTTGTAAAAAAAAGAATAAAAAGCTAAAAAGAACGTTACTT